GCCTTGGTATTCCCCTTGCCGGACTGATCGGCCGCGAGTACCGCAGCGGCTGACTGCAGCGCACCATCTAGGATGGCGGGATGCAGCCGGAAGCCCCCCTCGAATGGCTTGATGGGCGGGTCGAGCTTGAGCAGGGCCAGAGCCTGGTCGTCCGACACCAACAGCTCCCTCACCGTCTGGAACCTCGGACCGTACGCCAAACCGATCTCCTTGAGCTGCGTGTAGAACTCTGCAACTGGGGCGACCTTGTTGCACCGGTGTTTGAGGGCCGTGAGGTCCTCCACCAGGTCTCTCTCGCCGTCCCCCGCACCCGCGACCTTGACCAAACGAGCGGTGGCATGCGGCACAAAGTCCTCCTCGCCTGGCGCCCGTGTGGAGATCTCGACGGCCATGGGGGGCATGGCAGCGTCGGTATCGGTGGTCGGCTGCTTCTCGACGGTGACACAGAGGGTGGGCATCTTCACCAGCTCAGAGTGCTGTTTTTCGTCGGGTTTGGGCAGCATGAACGGCCGCTCGAACGACACCTCCTCCAGATGTACGACCTCCGCTGCGGGTATCTTGGTGCCCCTTTCCACCTGCGCAGCTGCCAGGCCTGCACTGCCCAGGATGTCAATCCACCCTGCGGCCGGCATCAACGGCACGCCTGTGGACACGTCAAATCAAGACATACATGGAAACACAGCCAGCCACATGATGTGTGCTTCCAGCAAAGAGGTGTGTGTGGCATACCGAGCACGACATTGTCCTCGATGAGCGCCTTGAGGTCTTGTCGCAGGCTGGCTTCGAAGGTCAGGCCGGTCGGGGTCGTGTGCCGGCGACCGAGCGCAGGATGGGCCGCCTCGACCCACGGAAAGCTCTGGTGGTTCCACTGGTGAGTGCCCTTGAGCTTGGCGAGGCACGTCGCGACCGTCAGGCTGACACCGTCCTGATCGTCCTTGGCGGGGTCCATAGGCGCCAGCCAATGCAGGTCCATCTCTTGGACAACCTCCCGCACGCACTGCTTGCCCATTCCGATGAGTGTCGGGCGCGGGCCGGCCTCCACAATCACCCGTGCTCCCGCCTCGACCATGGCTCGCATGCCGTCCATGAAGCGGACTGGGTGGGTGATGTGATTTGCCCAGTACTCGCCCCTCACGACCTCGTCGCCGGCCACCTTGCCGCTGACGTTGGACACTAGGGGGATCTTGGGCGTCTTGAGGTCCACGGTCGACAGCACCTGCTGGAAGGGGGCCACCGTTTCGGCCATCAGCGGCGAGTGGAAGGCATGTGACACTTTGAGGAGCTTGTAACGGCCCCCCACGTTGAGCGCCTTCATCACGGCCTCGACCTCGCCCCGCTTGCCAGACACCACCACACTCTTGGGGCCGTTGACAGCCGCCACAGAGACGGTCCTGGTCT